ATAACTGACTAAATGCTACAGCAGTAGAGGAGGCTTTAAAGACTACTGAGAAAGGGAAAGTGGGGGGCTGGTTTCTCACAACTGGGAATCTGTTTGTGTTGGGTTTGTTTTTGGGGGGGGGTGCGTGTTGTGTGTTTTGGTTCTTTTACTTCACTGTACGGTTCATGTGCTCACAGCATGAGAGGAGCGGAAAAGTGAGGAAGCACCTTCCAGGGGGATGGCCATGCCACAATCCTTTCTTTATTCTTTTGGGATTTGGGGCATGCAGATGGGCCTAGCATGTTTCTCAAGCCGCTGGGTACGAGACTTGAACTGCATAGTCCATGTAGAACACAGCTATTTTTTTTTTCACGTGTGTGCCTTGCCAGAGAGACAGGGTAGGGTTGGAAAAGCAAGCCACTAGGTCTGGGACTCAGCCATGGTCCACCTTGTGGGAAGTCTGAGTTCTCAACCACCACTCCACCTGCTGGACAGTAGGAGTAAAATGTATATGATTATTGTATTAGCCACTGCTCTTAAGCTTGCCAGAAGTTGCCCAGGTTTACTCAGTCAGTTGGAACAGGACTACTGTGTCATGGGTCTTCCTGAAGTAAAGTCCTTTGATCCTGAAATCTCCTAGGACAGATAACTGATGCGTTAACCTACTGTTGCTACGCTTGCAGTTATGTCCTTCCTCCCTTGGAAGCATCAACAGTCCAGCCTAAGGCCAAATAGTAGACATATGGAATGTGTCTTTTGAGTGTGAGGGGTGTTAATAGAGAACAAGTAAAAAGATACGTGGGGGTTGAGATCTTATAGCCATCTGCATGGCTACAGAATTATAAATCGGACCCAGCAGTTAGTGTAATGACTATGTTGCTGGACTCCCATGTAGTCGACTGGGGTTCTAGTCCCAGACCCAGTGGCTTAAATTCACACTGGGCGCAAGTGTTCCCAAGATCCCAAGAGGAGAAGGGATTGCAGCATGGCCATCCCTTCTGGGAGGTGATTTCTTGCTTTCTATCTCTGTCTCTCTCTGTCTTTCTGGTGAGCGCACACGCCCAATAAGAAAAAACCTCTCTCTTTCAAAAAAAAAAAAAAAGAATTATAAATCAGAATTGTAAATTCAGGAGACCAGCATTTGGTGTAATGGCTATGTCACTGGACTCCCATGTAGTCAGCCACGATTTGAGTCCTAGACCCAGTGGCTTAAACTCATGCCTGGTGCTTGTGCATGCATGTGTAAGATCTCTTGAGGAGAATGGAGGAGCAAGGATTGCTGCGTGACCATCCCCCCTGGGGAGTGATTTCTCATTTTCTGTCTCTGTTTCTCTGTCTTTATGGTCAGCGCAGGAGCCCTATAGCAAAAACCTTTCCCCTCAAAAAAAAAGAATTGTAAATTCGGTTAGGGTAACAAGACTTATAACTTCTGGTATGTGTTCCCTTCCTCCTCCCCTGCACACCAAGAAAGTAGACATTCAGCATGGGACACCAGTTAGGTGTCTTCTAAGCTTAATTCTGACACTATCTACCTAGAGATCCTGATGGCACCCTATATTGAATGCCTAGGTTATTTTACCAGTGCTTCTGAATGCTGTAAATCCAGTGACTCACCCACCCACCCACCTCCTTTGGATTTCCATCTACTAGAGTGGCTTGCTTAGGGAAACACCTTTACTAGTTTATTGTAAAGGATATTATAAAGGATACAGATGTACAGATGCATATGGCAAGACCAGAGTTGTGTGCCAGGAAATAGGATGAATACCAACTAAATATTTCATGATATCACAAGCGGTATATCAACTTGGGTGGTAACAAGGCAGGGTAGGATAAGAGAATGTAGGCATGTTTATGTAATGTGGGGTTCATTTAAGGCAGTATATAGGTTGATGGGAAATGTGCTGTAAAACTTTATCTTTGTAAATACATGTGGAGTAAATATAATTGTGTTTTAGGGATGAAGCAGTAGTGTTCTATCTTGGCTAAAACTAGTTGTTGAGCTGTCATTTGTCCTTGAAATCCAGATACATTTTGTCATGATATTCCTTATTAGGCTGGGTTAGTGTCAGCGAAATGAATGAGTGTTGTCTGGCATGAAGTTATTAGAAACCAACCTGAGTTGGTTTCCACATATCTGTGTACCCTCAGAGCATATTTAAAGATTGTATTTGACTAGATACTTTTTGGTAGATTTTGTGATATGTTTACAATTATGAAGTCAAAGTTGAATCACTTCTATTTTTATTGCAGAGGATGGATGCTGTTTTCAATATGTAAATACCTGTTTGCAACTCTGTTCGAAGACAATGATCTAGTGAATGCCATCAAAAACATGGACAGATAAAGGAATGGCATATTAGCTAGCTAGTCAGATGCCTGAGTGCCAGTATCATCAGTAATGAAAAATCTCCCATAGAAAGTGCCTTTTTAGTGATTAAGATGTACAAAACAATAAATTAGTACAAAAACAATAAATTGAAGTCTTGAATGATAAATTTACTTCAGGTATGATACCAAATCTGTATGTAGTCATCAAGCAAGCTGAACCAGACCTCCCTCCTGCCCCCATTAATGTAAATAGTGCTTTCCCTGCCTTCAGAACAACTTTAAATGAATGCCCTTTGCTGTGGCACTACTGCCTTTGTTGAAAACCACTATTCTAAACTTTGTACTGTTCTACCGATTCTTTACCGTACTTCCCCAGAGTCCAAGAGTTTAAAATTTGATCATGTTGGCAATTAGAACTAATTAATGATGACTGATCTGTTTCTGTGATGCATATGGAACGACCAGTATTATAAGCACCCATCAGTTGCTTAGATATTCCTAATAATCATCTAGCTTGCAAGGTTAGTTTTTAGGCACTTGCCTTGAATAGCTTTTGCTGTATTTCTGTTTTTGTTTTGTTTTTGAAGGTTAGAAAGTATTATGTTCCCAAAACTTAAAAATGTACTTCCCAAAACTTAAAAATGTACTTTGATTGTAATATGACCCAAGCTTTAACTTTCAGGTCAGAATCAAAGTTAAAATTCCTGTGCATTCTTTGATGCATATATTGTTCCATAGGTAAGCCGGAAGCCAACCCTCAGTGAGTGGTCAGTTTACCTCATTGTAACTGCCAGGGTAGGTCGCTAAGGGATAGACGGTTGTTTTCCCTCCACTGACGGGTGGAAGTTAAATAATTCTCTACTTCCCTCTAACTTGTAACATCTATTATTTATAAACAAAATTTTCCCTTTTGCCTCAAACAAGATCTCAAGTATCTCTCTCACAAATGGCCCATATAATCCAGGCCTCTCATCTGTCCTGGTCTGGGGTTTTGGAGTAGCTCGTGTGACTGGGCTCCACTTTTGTTCAGACTTTATTTCCTATTAGCTACTAAATTTTATCATCCAATAATTTAATCACATTACATTTTTTTAAATTGCTAATTACCAGATGGCACATGCACGGGCAAAAGCTCAATACCCGTTTCCTAATGGGGCATAACATGGTGGTGCCACAATCCCTTATCCTCTGTTTCTCTTTCCCATCAGGTTTTGGGCATACTTAGAAACACAGCCAGTGTTTTTAGGCCACCTGCGTTGGGATTCAAACCTCAGTCATCCTTGTGGAATCTGGCCCTCTATGCACAGCACTTAATCTTTGTACTAGGATTCTTTTACATTCTTTGGGGGGAGGGAGGTTTTTGCTATAGGGCATGTGTGCTCGCCAGAGACAGAAAGTGAGAAATCTCCCCCAGGAGGGGATGGCCATGCCACAGTTCCTTCTCCATTCTCTCGAGATCTTGGGTACACATGCACACACTTACCCGGTGTGAGTTAAAGCCACAGTTGACTACATGGGAGTTCAGCGACATAGCCATTACACCATCTGCTGGTCCCGGATCCTTATACCTTTTTTTTTTTTTTTTTTTTTTTCAAAGTCTTTTGCTACCTCCCACCTACAAGGTGGTTTGGCCTCTGTTCTTTGCCCTCACACAGTTATATTCTTTGTGTTTCAGTCAATTGTTCATCTTTCAATGAATTGCTGATTTTACCAGTGTCCATGACCTTTGCTTTGCCTGGGGCATCTTTCTTATTTTAATGTTCTAAAGCAGATATTTTCCCATGTATTAAGTTTGGTTCGGCTCTTGACCAGTGTAAATGGTGTCTGTTAGTCTGAGTAGAGTGGGATGTGTGAGGTAAGGTGTTCATCTGTGTGTGCTTCCGTGGTTATCTAATACAATGCCTGACACAAGTGGTGTGGATAATATTGTTAGTGTCCATGTTTGTACTTGATTGTGGCTGCCCTTCGTTCTTTCAGAGCAGCTTTGTGGTCACAGCAAAATTAAGCTAAAAGTATAGAAAAATCAATCCCCACATAACCCCTTTACTTCTGCCCACCACAAACACAGCCTCACCCCCCCTTCCCCACCAGAAGGATACATTTATTTCAGTGGATGAGCCACCACTGATCAGTCATTATCACCCAGCATCTGTAATTAAGGTACAGTAGGGTTCACCATTTGTGTTGTACTTTTTATGGTGTGGGGGGTGGTCATTTTTATGACCACAAGGAACATTGGGAATTAGAAGTGGTGAAGAGGAGATGATTATGGGAGAAGAGGGAAAGTAATTCCTACTTCAGTTAGTAATCATGCTCTAGAGGGAAGGGTGAAGAGTGCTAGAACATAGTTAATGTTTAATAGGATAAGGAGTGGCAGAATATATGTTACTAGTTCTATCTTGATTATGGCTCAGGCTACATTTTGTTATCTTGGCCTTTTGTGTGTGTGTGGGGGGAGGTTATTCTGCTATAGGAAATGTGCAGTCACTAATACTGCAAGTGCTTAGTCTTTGAAGCAGAACTCTAGTGACTTACTTATTTTGATTCCAATTTCTTGGTGGCTATTTGTCAGCCAGAAAGTCTCTGGGAAGTTAGGGAACAACTTACACAGATGGCCAGGCATATGTTTAATCTTTGGCATTGTAAAATGTATTCCATTTTCTAACTTGTTCAATTTGGTTCTCTTGCAGGAATGACACCAAGGAAGATGTATTTGTACACCAGGTGAGTGCTTGTGAGACACTTACTTGCACTTCTGTCACAGGTGTATGAGAATGAAAGGGTGGGCGTCTTCTCAACTATTCTTGCATAAGGTTAAGTTCAACTACTAAACAGTTCCCAGTGTTTGCTTCCTGCAGGAAGAGTAGTGACATGCTTAAATGTACACATCAAAGTAGTTAACTTAATTAAAATAGTTATTTCAGATTGGTATTTTGTTAATAGCAGTAGCTTTTGAAATGTGGACTCTGTTCATCTCATTTCATTACATATCCATGCCTAATTTCAGATGGACAAGGTAACCTCTGAAACTAAACATGAACTAGTAACATTGCTGTAAATGACACATACTTTGGCAAGAAGTTTACAAATGGTGCTAGGTCTACTATATGTTAAAGAAGTAACACCTTACCATATAAAATTACCAGAAATAGGGACCAGCAGTTAGCGTAATGGCTACATCGCTGGACTCCCACATAGTTGACCGCAGTTCGAGTCCCGGACCCTGTGGCTTAAACTCACGCCGGGCGCGTGTGCGTGCGTGCCCAAGATCCCGAGAGGAGAATGGAGGAGAAGGGATTGTGGAGTGGCCATCCCCCCTGGGAGGTGATTTCTCGCTGTCTCTCTCTGTCTGGCGAGCGCACACACCCTATAGGGGAAAAAAAAATTACCAGAAATAGGAACAGAACTGCTACTGCAAAAAATAATGATTCGAAGTAGATACTAGAAAAGTAGCAAGGTAGGATAGGGCTTTAAATTTATTCTGAAGTAGTTCAAATGGATAGTGCCTTTTTAATACCTTTAGAGAGTTTTTGCCTGGCTTGGAAATTTAAAAACATCAACTAGTGGCGCCAGCAGGTGATGCGGTGGTTAAGGTGCTGGACTTCCACTTAGTCAACTGTGGTTCGAGTCCCGAACCCAGTGACTTAATCATGCCAGGTAAGTGTGTTTGTGTGCCCAAAATCCTGGGAGGAGAGTGGAGGAAAAGGGATTGCAGCGTGGCCATCCCTATGAGGTGATTTTTTACTTTGCCTGTCTGTCTCGCTTCACTGAGCACATAGGGGCCTATGGCAAGAGCCCTAAAAACAAAACACTAGTGAAAAGCCGTTTGGCAAACTTAGTAATTGTTCCTGAAGTAATTTTTAGATTGGTTTCCAATGTTTGGGGACAAGGAAACTAGCATAAGATAAATGCTCCATGTTGGACTTTGTCCTTAGGAATGTAAGTAAGGAAGCTTTTTATAGAAATATTGGGACATTAAGGAATTAAGATCACTGCTAAAGTTAGTCACTGTCAAGTGAACCACTAATGTCTTGAACTTAAGCATGTTATAGTGCTCCATTTGGCTTAACCCACCTCACAGGTATGAAAGGGGTAGGAAAAACATATGTTGTGCCTGTGTACTTACTCCACTGTGCAGTTTTTTCTTTACTAAAACCATTGAAGTGTTGTCAGCTTGTATCAAAAGTTACTTGGGGGGGAAAAAATTTTTTTTTTTTTTTGAAGAGGTGTTTGCTATATGATGCATGCGCTCACTAGAAAGACAGAGACAGAAAGCAAGAAATCATCCCCCAGGGGTTGGGTCACGCCGCAATCCCTTCTCCTCTGTTCTCCTCTTGGGATCTTGGGCACACATGCACACATGCCCGGTGTGAGGTTAACCCACTGGCTCTGGAACTCGAACTACAGTCAGCTACATGGGAGTTCAGCGACATAGTCGTTAGGCCAACTGCTGGTCCCATTACTTGAAATTTTTAACAGTCACTTTTTAATACTATAATCCAGAAATCAAAAGACCTTAAGTCAGTTTACATACTCACACCTTTATTCAAGCAGATAAGAGCTTAAGTGTCCACATGCTTACTAAGAAGGGGCTATCACAGATTGGGGCTTTGTAGCTCTCTGAAGTGTCTCAAACAGTATTTAGTGACAATCAAGGGGGAAGCCAGATCAATTTCTAGTACATCTAAAACCCTATCAGATAATCCCAGGGTCAGATGTAAGTATGGAATCATTTAAATTCTAAATGTGAATAAATGCAGAACTGCTCAGACAAAATGTTATTTTAAAACAAATAAGGTTTTATAAAGTTGATGTTGTTTGGGTAAAGATAACTTACCTGTTCCTTACTTTTCCTTTTGTGTGTTCAAAAGAATGTGCAGACATAGGAACAAGAGACAGCAAGGCTTGTCAGTTTTGCTGCCTATTAGATCCCTCAGAAATTGAGGGAAGAGGGGTCAAAGACTTTGAATAAAAACACTTTGGGGATTTTAATTATTCATGCTTCTGCTATCCCCGATGACTGCAGGTAATTGAGACTTGGCTATATGAAAGGTATAAAAACTATGTGACAGTTTAGATGACAGATGAGATCAATTATTTGACTCAACTCACCCAGTTGTACTGGCCCATAAGGTGTCACCAATACGCTTTATGCTTTATTTTGGAAGTGGTTTTTAACATGTAGTTGTTTTTTGGGACTTTGTCTGCTCAGGTCATAGTGGTGTATCAAGGAGACTGCAGTTCTGGGCAACTTAGCTTAATTGGCCTCAGATTTGTTGGTTGTCCTGCCTCCTCTGGAATGGAAATGCATGAGTGACCTGTAATGGATACCGCTGTGATGTGGAATGAACATGGGATTTGGAGTCCTAAGACCTGGATTTGGAAATGTCTCCACTCTGCTGCTTTGTAGCTATGTGACCTTGGGCAAGTCACCTACCTTTTTAAAAGCCTATTATATTTGTAGAAAAGGGGTAATAATACCTCACAACATCTGTCATAATGAGATTGAATAGGTGAAAATATTACATTACAATGTGAGGTGTTATTCTCCTTTTACTTTGCCCTAACAGTATGGAGATGTAGAAGTAACACATCTCTATAATGAAAGATTTATTGTATTCTGGGGAGCTAATAACTGACAGTCCCATACAGTCAGATAATGTAAAGAATGGCATAGTGATGAATATATGTGAATTGCATTTCCATCGAAGTATTATTTTATAGACAGGTTGGAAGGGCTTTTGGTTGACATTTGTAATTGCGTTTGATATGGTAACAACAGGGACAAAGTTGGTTTGGTCAACCTTGAAGCATGTAAAACCAAACTCGCCTGTCATCTAAACTGGCCCTGTGTGGGGCTAGCGTCTATTAAGTGCAGTCTTTGGGGATAGATGGATATCCTCATTTGTTCAAAGTTACATATAATGCTTTTTTGAAAAAAGCGTTTTAAAAAATAATTTATATTGTTGTGTCTGTCTTGAGTGTTAAATTATTTTAGTTTTGTAATAGTGGTAAAATGCCGGGTGGGGCCTTTTAAGATTGGAGTATTTTGGTCATGGTTGGGGGTAGCATTGGTCCCTGCTTTCTTAAATTTTTGATGGTTTGGCCTTAAAGCAAAATGTAAGATAAGTTTTAAATCCAAGCTAAAATGATATTGACTCTGGTACATTTTAAATGAAAAAGCACGTTATTCTCCCCTGTTAATCTATTTTTGGAATGTGATATTACTAGACTGCCATAAAGAAGAATAACCCCAGGAAGTACCTTCGCAGTGTAGGAGATGGAGAGACTGTGGAGTTTGATGTTGTTGAAGGAGAAAAGGTGAGGATGCTTTTTGTGTAAAGGTTTGACTTCGGTATGGAAATATTTTGGAGATCTCTTTCGTTAGTATGGTGGCTCTAATGTGGACGGATGTGTTCAGGTGACTACATGAACACAGGTGCATCAAGCTTAATGTGCTGGCTGCAGTTAGAGGGCAGTCTCTTCAGAACAGTGAGGAGCTGATGTTTAGTCATTTCTATGCACCCCTGGCCACACAGACACCCCACTCCCCAACCTTTCTCCCCCTTTTCTTTTTGGCTTTGTGTGAAATTTGTTGAAGTGTTATGATTTCCTTTGTTGCTATCATCATTATAATGGCTTTTGTAGGGTGCGGAGGCAGCAAATGTTACAGGCCCTGGTGGAGTTCCAGTTCAAGGCAGTAAATATGCAGCAGACCGTAACCATTATAGACGCTATCCACGTCGTAGGGGTCCTCCACGCAATTACCAGCCAAATTACCAGAATAGTGAGAGTGGGGAAAAGAACGAGGGATCGGAGAGCGCTCCCGAAGGCCAGGCCCAACAACGCCGGCCCTACCGCAGGCGAAGGTTCCCCCCTTACTACATGCGGAGACCCTATGGGCGTCGACCACAGTATTCCAACCCTCCTGTGCAGGGAGAAGTGATGGAGGTAAGTTTCACCAAAAAGAAAAATAAGTAATAAGCATGTAATAACTTTTGATAGGACTGCATTTTAACTATTTCTTGGATTTCTTCTCCTACATTGGGTATACTAATTATACAGAGAAAATACCCTTCAATATTCCTAGTTAAGAAGCAACAGGATTGATCATTTATAGTATGATCATAGTTACTAGGTGTTTTTCTTTAATTATTTTTAAATCTCCTATATTCAGAATTTGGATTTGTCGGGTTGAGTCTTTACTCTTATGTTACCGATCCAGTAGGCTTGATTTTCATTGTATTTTCAGGGTGCTGACAACCAGGGTGCAGGAGAACAAGGTAGACCAGTGAGGCAGAATATGTATCGGGGTTATAGACCACGATTTCGCAGGTATGGTCCATATTAACCTGTTTCTATTAAAAATTCCTCAAGCATGTTAGGACTCAGCAGCATCATGTTTCTCCTGTAGGCTGAGTTGTTTATCTGTTAACACTTCACGTTTTCTTTTATCAGATGCCTAAGAAGTGAACCCGAAGTCAGTTATCTTTGAGTGTGTTCTTTGCATCTTTGCTGGCACTGGTTTAAAACTGACTGTATAGATGAGGTCTACCTTACACTTTTTTTTTTTTTTTTTTTTTTAATGAGGGTGTGGAATTTCAGATTTTCTGATCTTGAACAGGTAAGAGAATAGTTTAAACCCCACATCTTTTAACCTTGCTTCCTTAGGGAGAGAGAAAGGTAAAGATAATTTTTTAATTGTTAGCAGTATCTGAACTATACCCCAAAATGAAATCAATCCATTAAGTTACATTTTAAGAAAAATCCAGGTCCAGACTGGTATGAAACAGCCAGTCTACTCACTTGGAGACTAGAGAATGCTACTTCATAGGTGTATGATTATTAAGGTAATTATTAAGAGTAATTGAAGATAAGCTCCATGAACCAATCATATTTAAGTATTTGCTGTGGTATACATTGAGGCATTGCTACTACTCAACACTGATAGGGTAGGTTGGTTTAACAGCTGAGTGTCTTAGGGCAGAGCAGTAAGTCTCCTGGTATGGTTGCCTAAAGGAGACAAGTAGCACTCAAGGATCAAAATCAAACTAGTAATAACTCTTTCTGGTGATGACTTAACAGAGCTGACTTTAAATGCCCAAGTCAGAGTTGGAGCACTTGAAGCTGTAAGAACTAGGGAACCTAGTTGAGGTTATGTCATATGTACATCATATATCAATATTGATAATTTGGCAATGGCAAACAATATCCTTGTGTTTTTGCTTTTGTTTTTATCGATATATGTTCTATTCTGAGTTCTTAATTGAAGAGAGCTGTTCACTAAAATTGGAGATTTTCTCATTTTATTCTCCACTAGGAATATTATATTGGCTATGTGTTGGAAATATCATTTTTAAAACTAGGTCTCAGACCAGCCCTGTAGTGCAGTGGTTAAGTACAGTGTTATTAGAACCTGGATCTCACTTGGCTGTTGGAATATATGTCCCAGTGGCTTGACAAACATGCCCAAAATCCTGGTGGGAGGAGGAGATGAAAGGGGATTGTAGGGTGGCTGCCCCCTTGTGGGAGTGAAATCTGTCTCTGCGGAGTTCATGTACTTTTTGGCAGTTAAAGGAAGAATAGGCTTCCAGGGCTGTCTGTACACTGAGTTTGTGGGCACCATCAGCAGAATCTTTGGTTTGTCAGTAGAACTGTTTAAATTTTCTGTTTAGTTGTCTGTCCTTGCTCTTGTGGAAAATAGCTAAAATTTTGAGGGTATTGAGTGCTTCGGTTTGCTGGTTTAATAAATTGCATTGTTTTTATTGTCTTCTAGAAAGGTAGAAATACAGAAACCTACCTACTTATCTTCTTTAATACAAAACCTTTTGGTTTCAGTTAGACTTAGTCTCTTTTCTTTTTTTTTCAATGGATGGAATGGTTTTATGGTGCAAGATAATTACAGTGCTAAGATAATTGCTTTAAGGTTTGTAATAATGGTTAACAGTGAATGCAGTGCTTTCTCTTTTTTTTGGAGAGGTTTTTGCTACAGGGCGTGTGCGCTCACCAGACAGACAGAAAGACAGAAAGTGAGAAATCACCCCCTGGAGGGCATGGCCACGCCACAATCCCTTCTCCATTCTCCTCTCGGGATCATGGGTACACACGCGCCCGGCGTGAGTTTAAGCCACCAGGTCCGGGACGCGAACCGCGGTCAACTACATGGGAGTCCTGCAACATAGCCATTACACTAACTGCTGGTCCCTGAATCCAGTGCTTTCTAAACTAGCCAGGGGTTCTTTGTTCAGATGAGTAGTAAAAATAATGCTGCCCCAAACATAGCATAAAGTGATGGTGTAAAATCCTGATTGGTGTGGGTTCAAGAGCAAACTGAAAGAAATATTGAGAAAAGGGAGTACAGC